ATCTAATTAAAAGCTTATTTTGATTGAAGCTTTCTACGTAATATGAGAAATGTATACTTAGATCTTCGTAATATCTCTTGAGTTCTAAGCTTAAAGTCAGGAAGTATATTAGAATGAACAGTTACATTGTTATCAAGAAATAAATATGGAGGAAAATTGGGTGGATGTCTCATACACATCCTTTTGAAATTTTTGGTGGTGAAAAATTGATATATCTATGACTAATATGGTCTTCTCAGGCCTAAAGAAGGAGCTTCCTAGTTCACTTTCGGTAAATGTTTCAAAAAGCGGTGTTATGTAACCGTTGCGGCGGTAGGCACTACCCATTACACCCGCTTTTGTGGTGTGATAAAAATTCACATGTGTAATGGCCGTTTCAGTGTTATGTAACAGATACAGTGGTATCATAATGGCCGTAACGGCCTGTCACACATTGTTATACACATTTACAATATTCTGAACAGGTTCCTTCCCAAAAAAAGAAAAAAGTGTACAAAATATACATTATTCACATTCTGCAATATTTAGTAGCTTAAAACTAACTTTTTGTTCATGTCTCAATTTTTATCTTTATAATCATTTCATTTAATAATCGTAAACATTTTTTATTTATTGGTCAAAAATAATTTTATAGATATTTAAAAGCAATTATTCTTAAAAAATAAATAAAAGTAAGATGTACAATATGGATTTATGACATATAAAGTCATTAACTATTGAAATAAATTGTAAAAAACTCCTTTTATAGTGATTTAAAAATATAAAATATATTGGATCATACTTAAAAGTTAACAAAAATGGATCAAAATCTATTATAAACCCCAATAAATGTGATTCTAAAAAAAAAAAATATGCGTATCATGTAAGTTTTTTCAAATTGTGTGAAAAATAAAAAAATTCACGGTTTCGGTTGCTGCAACCATTACGCTGCAGCCGTTACATCCCGCAACCATTCTAACGACCACAATAACTTTTTGAAACCTTGCTTTCGATAGTGGCAATGTTGTGTGGTGGTGACACAATGGTCTCAAGTAGTGATTGTGGGTTGGTTCAATTGTAACCCATGATGGTCGTGCTTAGTGATTGATTGGCATTAATATACTAAGATGGATATATTCATGGTTATTAGAATCTTACGTTTCACGATTCGATTCGTACTCTATAAAAGTTTCAACCAAAATGATTTGATTTGTGTTATTGAATGTTAAATTGAGTGAATTGTATGATTCACTACAATTTATTGCAATTCATTGTGATTCAATTTTGTTTGCATAATGCATGAAACGGATCGTTTATGCAAAATACAAAAAGAGGTCAATTAATTATATTAATACACGTGTATTTTTAAGGGGGACTTACGGGTAGGTCCTAATAGGTAGAATTATTGTCCAATAGGTCATATGATAATTAATGGTGTTTTTCATTAAATACTATTAAAAAACGCAACTAATTGTTAATTTTCAACAACATTTTAAAAATTGTTACAAAAAATCTCACTAATTATAAGTTTGAGCGACAGTTTAAAAAAAAGTCACAAAAAAGTCACTAATTTTTAACTTTCAGCGACAGTTTGAAAAATTCGTTACAGAAAACGTAACTAATTGTAAGTTCTAGCAACAATTGATAAAAAAACATGACAAAAAAGTCACTAATTATCAATTTTTAGCAACACATGCAAAAAATCGTCGCAAAAAATTATTTTTAATGACGATTTTACTAGGACTTATTTTCAATGGGACTTGACGGGAATTAAGTCTAACTATTAGGACCTATTAGTAATTTATCTTATTTTTAAACACTCAAGTGTATTTTTATATGTATATATTATACTAAATAAAGTGAATCTTATGATTCACAATTGATATAATTCATGATTCACTATTTTAGTAAAATGATTCACGATTTGACAACAATGGATGTATTATATAACTTTTCCCTATTTTACCTTTCATATATTATTCTTCTATGTACAACACCTAATGGTCAACAGTTAGGGGGCTTTAAAATTTATACCAAGTTGTAGAAGTAGCAAGAATTCCATATCTTATTGTAAGTTTGGGTTCATGGGACCAAAAAAGGTAGGTTTGAAATTGTTCAGGCTCATCTTATTTACTAAACAAGAATTCAAATAAGGTTCAAGTTCAGTTTAGTAAGGGAATAAGCGAGTTGAAACAAATCCAATACTAGACACAGTTCATGAACAACTGGGTTTGTTTGTTGCTCTAGTTTGAAAGCACACGATTGTTTTGTTGATAGTAGATTTTACTTATCTTTTGAGCTAGCAAAAACACTTTTTGGCATGTGAGATTATGATGCTACTCCTTAACCATGCTATGTAGTTGGGTTTGTTATAAGCCTCTTTTGACCATGCTTGGAATTTGTGGTTTAGATGTGCTATGTTCTGTTTACTCATATTTCTTTCTTAGTGGATTTATGTGTCTTATGTGTTTGAAACTTGTGCTAGATTCATGAAATAGGTTAATTTAATGAACTTTTCATATGAATGACCAGTGCTAGATTTCTGAGACTATTCCAATGACCTAAGGAGACATTTTACCTTGCTTTTTGACAAAGGGTGCTTTTTGATTTGAAAAACTTGATACCACAACCTTACTCATCATTAATTTTCATTTGATACAAGAAGAAAAATAGTTTTGGATACAAAGATAATTACCTATGAATGGTGGGGCAAAAATAATTGATTCTGTACCAACCTAGTCATCCGATAAGCTCTACCATCTCATGTTTCTAGTTTGAGAGTAGTACTATGTCAATGTGTTGAGTTAATAAGATCGAGGGATGGTGAACAGAGGAAGAGATGGTGGCTGGATTCCGGTAGTGAGGCAATGGAATGGAGGTGGAGCACAAAATAAGGAAGCACAGCATGGTCTTATCACTGTCTTTGTGGACAACATCCCGTCAACTATGGACGCCAAAGCTCTGTACAAACTCTTCATCAAATTCGGGATTGTGAAGGATACTTACATTCCTTTCAAAAGAAGGAAAGTGACCAATTCAAGATTCGGGTTTGTGCGGTATAACTGTAGCATTGCAGCATCTGTCGCAATCCAAAAAGGAAATGGGCTCTTGGTGGATGACTCTATGCTAGAGGTCAAACTGGCGGCTTATGACAGAAATGGTAGAAGTGAACAGAGTAAGGACAAGCTTCAGCCTCTCAGAAGATTCTCGGATATGATCAATTTCAAGGGTAAAGACGCACTGGTTGGGCACAGATCTTTTGCTGAAGTCCTAAAGGGTGACACCTCTGCAGCGGTTCTAAAGTAGTTTGTGTTGTATTATTTTAGAAATGTTTTAGGTTTTCGTAAAATTAGGTATCTGGTAGTTGATGTATGTTACTCACTTATGTACTTGTTAGTAATTTGGTCATGACTCATGAGTGAAAGAGTAGTTAGTTACTTACTGCAGGATTATGTTTTTTTGATAAATACTTGCTGCAGGATTATATTATGATGTACAAAAACAGTTACTTATATTATGATGTATCAAAAAGGTTGAAAAGAGTGCTGCCAGAAATTATTAGTGAAGCTCAAACAGCTTTTTTGGGTGGTAGATCTATTCTTGATGGTGTTTTGATCGCGAATGAAGTAGTACATTGGTGGAAAGCTGCAAAAATGAGAGGCATCATTCTAAAGTTAGATTTCGAAAAGGCATATGATTCAGTTAATTGGGAGTTTCTACTTTCTATGATGAGGAATTTCGGCTTTGGGGAGAAATGGTTGGGTTGGATCAAATCATGCCTCTCATCATCCAGAGTATCTGTTTTGGTCAATGGATCTCCAACAAAAGAATTCGCTCCTCAGAGAGGGCTCAGGCAGGGAGATCCATTATCCCCTCTTTTGTTCAACATTGTAGCAGAAGGTTTGAACATTTTGATTGAAAGAGCAAAGGAGCTGGGGCTGGTTAAATGAGCTTCTGTGGGGCCTACTGAGTTGAAATTCTCTCATCTGCAATTTGCTGATGATTCAATCATATTCTGTGAGGCGGTCCGAGGTGAATTGGTGCACATTAAGAGAATTTTGCGTTGCTTTGAGGTGCTTTCCGGCTTAAAGATCAACTTCCACAAAAGCTTGTTGTGTGGTGTAGGTGTACCTGATGGTGAGGTTAACCAGTTTACCTCCATTTTCAACTGCCGTAGTCAAAAACTCCCTTTTAATTATCTGGGTCTACCCCTAGGGGCTAATCCCAATAGGAAAAGTACATGGCAATCTGTAATTGAGAAAGTGAAAAAGAAGCTAGCTAATTGGAAGAGGAAATTTTTATCTTACGCTGGCCGTTTAACCTTGATCAGGTCAGTCCTCTCTTGTATGCCCATCTATTTTCTATCTATTTTCAAGATCCCTGTGGGAGTAGCTAAACAGATTGAGAAGATTCAGGCAGCATTCTTATGGGGCAAATCTGAACTTAAGAGGAAAGTCCACTTGGTGAAATGGGCGGATTTAACAGTGGATAAGTCACAAGGGGGTCTGGGGCTTAGAAATCTACGAGAAGTCAATGCTTGCCTCTTGTTAAAATGGTGGTGGCGGTTTGGTGTGGAGGACAGAGCTATATGGAAACAAGTAGTGAGGTGCAAATATGGTCTGGGTGATGGTGGCTGGGTACCTTCCATTCCAGAGACTAGTTCAGTGTCAAGAATTTGGTCTGATGTTGTTCATCTTGGGGCATCTAGTCCTGAACTGATGGAGTACTATTTATCCAATTTCAAAATTCTGGTAGAAAATGGGCATCGAATTCTTTTTTGGGAGGATAAGTGGTTAAATAATCTATGCCTCAAGGCGGAATTTCCCAGATTATACAGGCTGTCCGTGGAAAAGGGTTGTTCACTTGTGCAGATGTATCATAATAGAGGGTAGACACTCGAGTGGAAGTTTCTATTTAGCAGAGTTCTGTTTGCTTGGGAGGAGGAGGAGGTCGCTAGGTTGCAAGAGGTTCTAAGGGGCACACTTGTTCTTATAGACCAAGCAGAGGATTCTTGTTTATGGATGGCAAATCCCTCAGGATCTTACTCCGCGGGTGTGTCTTGGAAGTGGTGGATGCTGTCAAAAGGTCCAGTCATAAGTGTTGCTGATATGTTGTGGAAGAACTCCGCTCCACCCAAGGTGAAATTCTGCAGCTGGTTAGCTTGGAAAGAAAGACTTAAAACTTCGGTGTTCTTGAAAAGGATTGGTGTGTTGAACTCGGAAGCGAACACAGTGTGCCTGCTGTGTAAAACAGAGGAGGAGTTTTTGAACCATTTGTTGTTGTCGTGTCCTGTGGTTTGGAAACTATGGTCAGACATGATTAAATGGTGGGATCTGGTTTGGGTGGTTCCAGGTACAGTCGAGGGATTGCTACATTGGTGGGCAGGCTATAAATTTAAGAAGGAGATCCAACCATTGTGGAAAGTTGTCCCTGTAGCAGTTCTGTGGTCAATTTGGAAAGCTCGGAACGATTGTCTTTTTCACCAAAAGAGTGTTGAAGGGTTTGATTTGGCTGAGTTGGTAAAAGTGAGGATAGCTTTTTGGTGCAAGCATAGCTGTGGAGGTTTGCAATACTCCGTGGAGGACATTGTTTTTAATCTCGACAGTATCAAAGTCTGATAGGGGTTTTGCAGGTTTGCAAGTTTTGTGTGGTCTATTCTTGGTCGCAACTCTGTCTGCAACTCTGTTTGTCTGTTCTGGGTTGCTGGTTTATTCACTGTTGCAGTATTCTACATCACTGTGTTTTCTGGTTTATCTGTGTTGCTGCAACTGTGAAGTTTTTGTTCTGTCCTGAATTTGGGAGGATTGTATTTCAGTAGTTTGCAGGTCTCAGAAGGCTTGTTTCAGCAATTCTCAAATGACAGTCTTCATGTCATTTGATAGATAGCTCTGCTGCTGGCCCGGTTCTGATATGGTCTGCTCAGCTGTGGGATGATCTGGATTGGTTGCTGTTGAATGCCTATCTGATATAGTATACGGGTTTAATGTACATGAGTTGATTGTCAATTGGGTTGAATGCCCATCAGGCTGTTCAATGCCTATCAGACTTTTGTGGGAGCATCTTGTATTTTTCTTTTCTTTTTGTTGGTTCCTCACCAACAGGCGCTTGGAGCTTCGTGTTAGCTCTAAGCTCCTCTTTATTGATGTTTCTAATCATACTGTGTATGTTTCATCAATAAAGATTTATTTGCCGATCAAAAAAAAAAAAAAGTCTGTAAGTCCAGTTCTGCTCAGAGGAGAAGATCACTGCAATTGAAATATTGCAACCAGTAGAGAAAACTCCTTTTCAACAATCAAATTTATAATGTGCTGATCAAATAGCTAAGATCATCCTCTCAATCGGATTCGATCTGGTATTATTTAATTGTGTGGTGTTTGGATCTTGGATTTTGTCATAAAAGGGAAGAGATTGTGAAAAAAAATATAGCTTTTATCTCATTCACTTTTCGCTTCTCAAATCCAAGATCTATGCACAACCTTGGTGTCTCTGCTGATTGTCACTTTTTGCTTCTCCAATCAGTTGTACTTTATTTATGAGGTCAGTATCTTCAAGGGTTCTATTGGCCTCATAGCTCTTACCAAATACCTCTTCATTTTGTATTTGTTTTTTATGTGTTTGAAATTAGATTTTTCTACTGCAATTTTATTGTACAGTAGCTTGGATTGATTGTAAAGAAGATGTATAACTTTTGTTGAAAATATATGACTGAGAATTACCATTTGTTGTTCTTTATATATGGTCCTGTTAGCAGTTATGCTAAATCAAGTATATAAATTCCATACCTATGTAAAGATGACTGAAAGAAATACCAGTATGGAGATTGATGACTAAAAAATCACGTATGTTAAACACTTTTGGTTTGTAGAAGACTTCTTTTATTTCAATTAGCTGAAAAAACCTTATAATTTGTTGTTGTAGTTGTTTTTTTGTTTTTTTTTGGGTGTGTTTCCCCACTTGCTGCTGAGAGCATAAAGCTTGCTTAACAGTTTGATTCCTTTGTACATTTCTTTGTAGGTTTAAGTGTTGTGTATGAAATTTAATTTTGTTTGCATTGTATTTTGTGTGTACATGGAGTCAGCCTTTTTTCGATAGTTTTGTAAACAATCTTGAAGTTCGTAGTTCTCTAGAGGCTCTTTGGTCGCTTTGGAAACTTAGGAATGAATGTGTCTTTGCAGAGGCTCAACCTAGTCTCTCTGGATTGAGTGAAAATATCAAAATTAGAGCTGTACTTTGGCTGAAAGCATCTATTAAAGATCTTCCTTATTCCGTTGATGATTTAACTTTCAACTGGCGCCAAATCAGAGGATGTTCTTAACTGTTCCGAGCTGCTCTGTGTTGAAATCTGGGTTTGTCATGGATGTCCAGTGGCTGGGGATGGTCTGCTAGTGTTTGGCTGTTGTCTTCTTGTTTTTGTCTTGTTTTGTTCTGCTCTGTTTGTTGGTTTCTCACCATCTTGGAGCCTCGAGTGTGTGCTAGCAGATGATTGGGTGTGCGTTTTGGTGCCAACCTAGTTGGGATCCAAATGTTTCACTGTGATGCTTTTTGCACCCTCTTCTTTATTGATGTATTCTTTTCATACTTGTTATGTTTTTCATCAATAAAGCTTTTCTTTTGCCGATCAAAAAAAAAAAATGTAGTTGGGTTTGTTTGTTGCTCTAGAGTTTGAAAGCACATGATTGTTTTGTTGGTAGTAGATTTTACTTATCTTTTAAGCTAGCAAAAAACTTTTTGGCATGTGAGCTTATGACGCTACTCCTTAACCATGCTAAATGCTATGCCTTTGCTACAGGGACAAGGAAGCTATGACGATCGTACTGAAATGGTTCGACTGATCGTTGATCTTGTAGAGGTGACCATATACGCTGATAACTCTGAATGGAGGTTGAGATAATTTCCCCCCTTTTTTTGGATAGATGCCTACTACAAAGGGATCTTTTCATAATTTAAGTCATTAATCCTAGTTTCTTTTGCATCCTTCTTTTGATTTTTCAGTTTTCATCTAGTTTTCTCAAAAGTAAATTTTACATGAAAGCTGGCATTTCTTCTTGCTAGTGTTGATGAGCAGGTGGCAAGGGACATACAACTAATAGATGTTATTGTTGAAAAACAAGCTCAAATTTTTTTCTAAAGAGTGCACGTTGTTCCTGGCAGATGTGCAGATTCAATCCAAATAGCCATTGTAAGAATTCTTTCCTTTTATTTTTATAGCTTTATTTTTGTCATGGCTTTGTCTTGAAACTAAGCCCACCATTGCATTGAAATCTTGCAGTATTATTTATAGTGAGCTTCTAACTCAAGTTTCTAAAGTAGTTTGTGTTGTATTATTTTAGAAATGTTTTAGGTTTTCGTAAAATTAGGTATCTGGTAGTTGATGTATGTTACTTATGTACTTGTTAGTAATTTGTTCATGACTCATGAGTGAAAGAGTAGTTAGTTACTTACTGCAGGATTATGTTTTTTTGATAAATACTTGCTGCAGGATTATATTATGATGTACAAAAACAGAATACATGGCGTGGCTTGTTGTCTGTTTGGATTTTTGTTGTTTATTTATGTTGTTTGAATTGGAGATTTGCAGTTGGACAGGAAGAAAACATGATCTTGTATTGTGATAAGAAATCCACTCTGAAAAAAATTTGTAATGTCATTTATGCATATGGCTATAGACCCCGTTTGTTTGGGATTATAGGGAGGGGATTGGGATTACTAATCCCTTGGTATTACTAATGGGGTGTTTGTTTTGAGAGATGAGGAGGGGACTATTAATCCTTTGGTATTAGTAGTCCCCTTCGAAGGGGGATTGGTAAGGAGGAGATAGAGATGGTATTAGAAAAATAGTGAGGGGATTAGAAATTTTTTTATTTTTTTATTTTTTATATATTGGGATTTTTTTTAAAATATTAATGTTTAATTTTCAAAATTTTTTTATTTGTTTTATTATTTTATATAAAAATAATTTAACAATTCCTCACTATCAATCGCCTCACTAACAATCCCCTCACTATGAATCCCCTCCATTCTATCTCTAAAAGCAAACGGGGCCTAGGATGCATCTTGCATGTATTTGTTGATCTACAATTTGACCAACAAATTTCAAAAGCTAGTTATAAATTCCCAACATTGTTCTCAGCATCAATTGGACCTGTTGGGGGTATCTTGGTAGATGGCCTATGAACTATGGAGCATGGACATAAGAGTATTTGCACCAACATAAGGTGAATTCTTGTGAAGGGAATATAAGCATTTTTGCCCAGTTCCTGCTTGCTTATTGTTTTTTTAAAAAGTTATAATGGCCTATGCAATGATTGCTACATCATGAATATAAAATGCTATTGGGGCTATTGTTTTATTATGTTTTTCCTTTCTTTGGTGCTCTGTCCTTTGCTTTTCATTGTTCTCCTTCCACTAACCTGGAACGTCATGATATACTTTTACATCTCTCATACTATTTTTAGGTGTTTTAAGAGTTGTGTTACCCTTCCTCAGCCCTTGAAAACAAATGGAAGTGACCCTAGGTTAGAATCCTACCTGAGATGAGCTCAGTTACTTCAGGGATCCCAGCCTATGTAATGCAAAGAAAACCACTAAGTTGCCTACATCTATTTGTGAGGCTATTTACCAACAAGGATGAAGCTACACTAGGCATTCCAATTGGATTTCTATGCCCCCATACTCAGTCCCAATAAGATACCTTTGAGACTTAGTCTATGCTCCAGGCATTACTTGGTCCCTTTCTTCCACCGACGGAACCTTTTGCTTCTTGGTGGGCCTTCATGTCTCTTGATTTGTCATGCTGGTCCTAAGGTTATGTGGTGGGTCATCTACTGTCATGTGTAACTTTTGGAAGGCTATCTGACTTGTGACCTAGATTTCTACAAATTTTATGATCTGGTGACTTGTATCTTTCTATCTTTACTTTATTGCTATTGTTTGCTTGCATGCCATTGGCGTTAAGTTGGGGGTGGGTGTTTATTTGGAACTACATGTGAAGGTTGCATAAGGTTTCATTTTGAGTGTCTTTTGAGGTCTCACATTAGCAAATGCATGGATATTTCTTGTGTTGAGCAAGTTTATGAGTTGGGTGGGAATCTTTGTTTTGTGGTTTGTGAGTGTTGAGTGAGTGTGTCATGTTGTAAAGATTTGGGTGCATTTCTTGAGCAATGGGTATGTTTAATGTTTGTGGGTACCATCTTTGAACACTTTCTCGAGACTACACTCATCCTGTTGGGATAACTTTGTAGTGTAAAGGATTGTTACATACGTTAAATGCAATCGTGCATCTCACGAAAGTGGATGTAATTAGGATTATTTTGTTTTTATTTGTTTCTAGTTGCTTTGCTCGAGGACTATTAAAGTGTAAGTTAGGTTGTGATCGATGCCAAAATGTGCCACATTGAGGCTTGTTAATCTGTACTTTGAGTCTATCGTAGTTGTAACTTGGCATAAGTAGTGGATATGTTCATTTGAATTAGATTAAGCCAGTCCTAAGGAGAAAATGAGCCAAAAACAAGAAAGGATCATGTTGATGTATCCCGCACGTGCAGTGGATATGTCTCGCACGAGCAGCTAAGATCAAAACCAAATTTGTAAGATTGGAGGAAGCATTGGGAAGCACACCTTAGTACTAAGTGACCTATTTTGCATGCATGGGTATAAAAAGGATTTGGAGGTCTGAAACAAGGTTATGAATTTTGTTGGAAAAGAGAGGCTAGGGCTAAGGAGAGGTGATTCAACAAGCTTTTCCATGGTGATTCTCTTTAGAATTGTAGCTTTTCCTCTATTCATGAGCGGCTAGAGACCATACTCAAGGGTTTCGATGAAACCTTAGCCAAGCAGCTGGGTTATATTTTAGGATTTGATGATTGTTAAGTATTTTGAAACTAGTTGTTTTTGGTTATCATTGTTTTAATGCCTCAACTACTCATTCAATTTTTGTCATTGAGAATGTATGTTTTGCAATAGGCTTCTATGCTTGTGTATTGAAAGCATGAGATTGGCTATGCCTTGGCTAGACGAGTTGTGGCATTTGAAAAGCGGTTGCAGTTGTCGTAACAGTTGTGGTGGCGCGGTAGTGTTTGCGGGGTGTAAAGGCTGTAGCGTAATGGTTGCAGTAATCGAAACCGTGATTTTTTTTTTTTAATTTTTTGCACAATTTGAAAAAACCTTAATGATATGTATATATATTTTTTCATAATCACATTTATTGGGGTTTAAAATAAATTTTGATCAATTTTGATCAATTTTTAAGTATGATCCAATATATTTCATATTTTGAAATCATTATAAAAGGAGTTTTTTACATTTTATTTTAATAGTTAATGATTTTAAGAATAATTAATTTTAAATGCCTACAAATTATTTTTTACCAATAGCTTAACTAACTAAATAAAAAATATTCACAATTATTAAATGAAAGGATTATAAAATAAAAATTGTGCCATAAATTAAAAAAAATATTATAAAGAAAAAAAATTCATATAAGATTTTTTCTTTGGGCATGGATCGCTTGTATTTGTTCATTTTTTGTAAGCTTCTTTTTTTTTTTTTTTTTTTTTTTTTTTTTTTTTTTTTTTTTTTTGGGAAAATGAAGCTATTCAGAATATTGTACAAGGGTGTAACGGTGCCTAACAAACCGTTACGGCCGTTACGGTACTGCTACAGCCGTTACATAACACCAAAACAGCTGTTACACATGTGAATTTCCGTCATACCGCTATAGCGGCTGTAACGGGTGGTGGTAACCACCGCAACTGTTACGTAATACATAACGATGTTACATAACGGTTGCGGCCGTTTTTTAAAACCTTACTCAAGGGTTTCAATGAAACCTTAGCCAAGCAGCTGGGTTATATTTTAGGATTTGATGATTGTAAAGTATTTTGAAACAAGTTGTAAAATGTTTTGGTTATCATTGTTTTAAAGCTTCATCTACTCTATGCATTCAATTTTTGTCATTGAGAATGTATGTTTTGCAATAGTTTTCTATGCTTGTGTATTGAAAACATGAGATGGGCTATGCCTTGGCTAGACGAGTTGGGGCACAAACCCTAGTTTAGTTTGGACAACTTGTGCCGGTTGAAGATTGCCCGTACTAATGGTTTGAATACCCGAATGTTGTTTGTTGTTAACGACATCAAATATGTAGTTGTGAGGTTGTTTGTTTCAAATAATTGCTTTTGTGAAACCTAAAATTAAAAACCTGGTCGCATAGCTAGTGAAGTATTTGATTCCTTGAGTCCTCTTTCCCATTTCATTTCCTCATTTTAATATTGCTTTCTTTTAACTTATAATTCTGAATTTTAATTCATAATTAAATCTATCCCAATCAAATCATTTCAAATTTGTTTGAATCCTATCAAAAAAAAAGAAAAAAAAGAAAAAAATAATAATTTAGGAATTGATACTTAAAATATACGGAACAATCCAAAAGTCCCTGTGAATTCACCTGTACTTGCTTTCTATACTTGTTTTATGTTGTACGAGAAGATTGATTTTTACGATGCTCAAGTTTTAGAAATCGAATGCATAGAGTAAACGAACCATTAAAACATTGACAACCAAAGCATTTTACAAGTTCAAAATACTTTACAATCATCAATCCTTAAAATATAACTCAGTTGCTTAGCTAGGGCTTCATTGAAACCCTTGAGAATGGTGCCTAACCGCTCATGGAGAGAAGTCAATCTGCAAATGTAGAGAGCACTGTCCTGGAAGAGCTTGTGGAATCACCTCTTCTTAGCTCTAGCCTATCTTTCCTAGAAAAATTTAGGATCCTATTTTAGTTTTCCAAGCTCCTTTTAATACCCATGCACTCAAAATAGGTCACTTAATCCTGAGGCATAGGTCCCAATGCTTAATCGCACGTGCAGATAGTGACCACTCCATGCGCGGATTCTTGCTGTCTTATAGAGTTGGTTTTAATCCTGAGGCATAGTTCCTAATGCTTAATCGCACATGCAGATAGTTACCACTCCATGTGCGGATTCTTGCTGTCTTATAGAGTTGGTTTTAATCTTGGCCGTGCATGCGGGACATATACTCTTTTCCCCTTGTTTTTGTCTCATTTTCTTCTTAGGACTGGCTTAACCTGATTAAAATGAACATATCAATTACTTAATCAAAGTTACAACTATAGTGGATTAAAAGTATAGAACCAAATATGTGTTTACCACATCAGCACAGGGATCCTAAAAGGGTAGAGAAGTAGCCGGAAAACTCGGCGTATCACAAAATAATGCTACCGAACACACCGACTGCCCCGAAACAAGTAAAACCACCGAGTTTGCTTACCACATCAGCAAACCATTGATCAACACAAGAAGGAAAAGGGAAAAACACCTCGATAACAAAAAAGGTAGAATAAGAAAGCACTCTAGAGAGAAACTAGCCTACGGTTTGGTAGGCTCTAATACCAAGTTGAATTTTGTAATAAGGCATTAAGTTTGAATATGGAGGGATAATAGAGACAAAAAAGATAAAAGAAAGAACACAAATGTTTAACGTGCTTTAGCCAATATTGGTCTACATCCACACACTCAAAGCCCTATGGGCTACATCTTTCATTCACTCAACTTGATACTCTTGTTAACATGATTCATCATATATATAGAGTGGGAGATACAATCAAATCCCTTCAGATAAGGAATTAAAATAAATCAAAGATACAAAAAATCATAATAAGCACAAAGCATGGGATCTCCATATATTTTAATATCTTTTGATATCTTTGACAATATAAGCTTATCTCCAACAGATTAAGGGGTCTCAATGTGGCACATTTCGGTATTGATCATTGTCTCAGTTCGAATTTGGGTGTACTGTGCTTGTAAGGAAGTTATATATGTTCTGCTAGGTGGCAAGGTTCTTTTGGAAATAGGTTATGTGGGCATCTTGGTACTTCTAGGGCCTTAAAATATTACATAATATTATAGGAAAAAAGCACATAATTGTCATACTCTAAGCGTGTGTGCCTGCATACATGGATAAGGATGCGTGCATAGTTTGTGTGGGAGCCAGTGAATGCATGCATTTGTGTACCTACATGTTTGTTTGTGGGTGTGTGCATGCTTGCCCATAAGTTCATGTGCTAGCAAGCTTGGGCATGCAACATACCTGTTTGATCAAAAAAAGGGGAACATCCTTTTTTTTTTTGAACTCCGGAACATCCGTTTGTTTGAGAAGTCAAATATAAAAGTAATTGTCTAGACAAATGTCAAACTTTGTCTATGCACACATAATGCTACTTGGAATCTTACCTAGAAAATGATAATGTATCTGCACCAGCTACATCTACAGCAGCAGCTCAGCCTATATCTACAGAAGCTCAGCCTATATCTGTCTATGCACACATAATGCTACTTGGAATCTTAACTAGAAAACTCTTTACCCTTTTGCAATGGAAACACACATAGTTAATAAGGCCACACAAATGCAAAAATGTACCTGGCAGTAGAAGTCAGAGTTTCAGTGCAACATACTATTTGGAGTTGACATATTTTGTCACTAATTTGAACCAAACTTAATTTCCTTATATTGGAATGTTCTGCTCATAGTATGCAGGTGATTTTGTTTCTTTCATATATAAAACTAAAGATAAACATTTTTAAGAGATGTAAAGCTATTTATCTTAATGAAACTTCCATCTTGAGTCGTGGATAGAGCCTAGATTGGAGGATGTAGAAAGAACAGTTTCTTCATTTTGCTGATTTTAAACAGATGGAAATTTTTGTAATCAATCTTACAGAAAACTCAGCCTCTGCCAATTTGGCCTATTAAATCAATGTCCTCAGTTTAAGCAAGAGCTTTGATCTTACCCCCTACTTCCCACATTTTTTGCTCATCATTTTAAATTTGATAATTATGCTTGATTTGTAGCCAACTGGAGAAACATACCCTTATAATTGGTATTTGGGACTAAGGCATATTGAGAGTGCCCAATTTTTATTGCACAGTTGGTCTGTCATTTGTAAATGATAGATATAAAATAGGTTTTCTTTTCCCTCTGCCTTCTGAAAAGGAGTATGGTTGTGCAGAATTTTGTTGGTGTTGTTGATAGAATTTGTTTTTACATGCAAAATGTATCATAACTTTTAAACATTGTTTATCACCAGATATATAACCGTCTGTTCCCTTAATCGAAGTTTATTTACAAGCCAGACATTTTTGATTTGGAAAAACAGCTTGCAAATCAATCGAATAGACTGTTGAATCTCCAAGAAATGGTCGATGATTTGGCATCAAAGGTCTACAATTTGTTTGCCTTTCAAAATACTTTTTTTGGATTTCTTATTTGTCTTTATAGTGGAGATTGTTTGCATCTTGATCATGTTCACCTAATTAAATGTTTCTAGACTGACCTTGTTTGTATGTTGTTATATTATATTGTGTTTACCTTATACATTTTCCTATTCTAGATATAAGGGCTTCATCCATATTCTGGAGTCTATATTTGTTCAATTCGAAGCTCTTTGATATCTGGAAGTACGCACCATAAGTTGTTAATGTGATTGCAACCATTTCCTTTGTTCAAGCGAAGTAACTTTCTGGTAATCGTTACCTATCAGATTTTCCTTAAGTGTCTGAACATTAATAAACAGTCTTAGACTACCTTGAGAAAATGAAAATCTCTAGAATTGTGCTCGACTTTTCTGCGTACCACATGTTATATGATTTATGTTTATATTTTTATATTTATCAATTTTTTTTGGAAGGTTCACTTTGAACAACTTAATTATAGATTCTGTCTTATAGTGAGGGGGAGGTGGGGTGGATTTGAACCTAGATAACAAATGGAGTCTTTCAAGTCCCTATTGATTGGGGCAAGCCTGAATTTGATTTTGTTTGTGCACTAGTTAAGAATGTTTAATTATTTTTTTTCAAAAAACTTAAATTCAGAATGCATGAATAGTGACAAATGCAAAAAGAGAAAAAGAGGAAAGTTTTGTTTAAAATATACTTGTTGCAGATGCTTAATTGTTGTCATCAGCTTGTCTATTGGTTTAGTTCCACGTATGTAAAACAAGAAAAATCTCTGTTTAATTGTCCTTTATTATTTTGTTTTTGATTTGTAGCATGCTTATAATCCAGATAAGGACTATGTGGAAGTGGAAGCAAAACTGCGGGGGCATCTGGAATCTTTCTTAGAAACTGCAAGATCCTTCAACATGATTTACACCAAGGTGTGCACTTGCCCCTTCATTTCATTGGATTGTTTAAAACTTTGTTGTCTCATTTGTCTACTCTATTAGAAGCCCGATCAATCAGAGCATACTTCTATTTTTCATAGCTGTGAACATGATCCTCGGCACACTTTTGTAGTGATGTAATGACAAGCCAATGCTTTTTAGTGGACATAGAAGGAACGTCCATTTATGTTACAGCTCAAACTTTACTACAAGTTTTTGAGACAAATTATCAAATCAACATTTCTGCAAGCTTATGCTGATTTTAACATGTACTTGATACTCAAGAATCTTTGTTGACATAATAATTTTGTTAAAGTGGAGCATGTGTCTGTTTGTGTGCGTGCAGGGCATGTTGGGATGCTAGCATCTTTGTTTGCAGACATGTGGGCTTATTCTTGGATGTGTATTTACTGCTAATATATTTTGGATAATTGTTATGTTTTGTTTTCTGTAGGAAATTCGTTCTTGGACGCAGATGATGGAGGTACCACAACTTCATGGGTTTGGGCCAGCTGCTAATCGCTTGTTAGAGGCATACAAGACACTCTTGAAGGTAACTTGGTACTAAATTCTTTTAATGTATTCTATTACCTGCTAGGTTGTGGTTAGGCCTTAACGGATGAAAACTTTGTTTGAGCTCCTCGGAAGCTAGAAGCCAGTTCTCTGGTGTGACATGACATTTGAAAACACTTCCCATTACATATTGGCAGTTGCAAATATTTTTTCTATTTATTCTTATATGTATAGGATCACTAATGGCTCAAACTTTTTCACACTAGACTTAGCATTCATGTAGCCTAAGTGCCCAATTAAGATGGCAAAAATAGCATTGATTTAGTAATACGTTATCATGTGTAGGTTCACTGTTAATTCAAATTCTTTCTAAGTAGTCTGTTTTATGTTCTTCATGTGTTATCTAACTGCTCTTAACTCCATCCTTGTGGGGGTGGCAATTGGTTGGGTTGGGTGATTTTCTAGAGTAACAAATGTTTGTTTGATTCAAAATCAACCTGTTTTAATATACAGGTCAAAAGTCTAAACCCAAACTCATTTAAAATCATATAAACCGCAATCCTCTTGCTTAACCCATTTCATAGTATTTTATAGTTTAAAACTTCTTTTAACCTAAACATGTGGCTTTAAATTATAAAATGTCTCAAATAATTTCAAATTTATAAAAATAATTATATTGTTAATGAAGTATTAATATAATTAGCATCAACTGTTTTAATATACAGGTCAAAAGTCTAAACCCAAACTCATTTAAAATCATATAAACCGCAATCCTCTTGCTTAACCCATTTCATAGTATTTTATAGTTTAATACTTCTTTTAACCTAAACATGTGGCTTACTTTTAAATTATAAAATGTCTCAAATAATTTCAAATTTATAAAAATAATTATATTATTAATGAAGTATTAATATAATTAGCATCAATACCTTTTTCTATCAAAAAATCCAACATTTAAAAAAATTTCACTGACGTTTTAGTAATCTCATAGACCTTAACCCAACTGTAAGAAGCATGGATATAGTGCCTATATGATGTGATGTGGATATACTGACATATTAGTTTTTTGAAAGTCAGGACACATCTGGGACACGATAACAAATAGACACATTTTTTTTAATATATATACATGAAAATAATAACAATTTATTAATTCTTTAAGTTACAAATATATTTATATTTTATTAGATTAAACTAGTAATCATTTTTCACATTCTATGTGTTGAAAAGAAGTCATAACAAAAAGTTTAAAAATCTACTTTTAAGCTTCTATTTCCTATACAAATTGAAAGTTTTAGACACCAGGATTTCCAAAATTTTAAGCCTTAAGGAAGTCCCCTAGGGGACATCCCAGTGGCTTAGGCCGCATTTCCTCTGTAATGAGACTCAAGTTCGAGTCTCCTTACCTTGCCTAAAGCCTAAAAAAAAAGTACGAAGCCTTTATGGAAGAGAAACAAATATGGGTACTACTCTTAATAGGCATAAATTAATAGGAAACCACTCCACGACCTTGAACTAAATTCATTGGTTGTTAAGAATTTTTTTTTTTGATTAGCAAAGAAAAATGAAACTTTATTGATGAGATGAGCAAAAACGAGCATCAATATACATCAATAAAGGAGGGTAGTGCAAAAAGCATCATAGCTAACACTCCACAATCCCAACTAGGTTGGCACCAAAGAGAAAGCACAATCATCTGCTAGCACTAAACCCATAGATTGGCGAGAAACCAATCCAAAACAGAGAAACAAAACGAAAAACAGAAAAAAAAAACCACCCAACCACATAGCAAGGGCAACCTTCAAACATGTACAATTCATTTAAAAAAATAAATAAATTCAAACACGTACAATCCAAATCTATCTAACCTCTAAAAAAATCAAAACTCTATTGGCGAGCATTGATTTTTTTTTAATATACAAAAATATAAAATACATACGATCCAACTCTAATAAACTTCAACTCTAACAAACTCCAACTCTAATAAACATCATCAACATTCGATTTTTATGCTAGTTTATCATAAAATCAAAGCTTCTATTAATGATAATAAAAAACAGTTGGGTACAAAAGATGCCTGTCTCAGAACTCTGGAACTCCCAAGGTAACCTTGGGACTACTATTAAGAAACACCAAAAACTTTGAGATACAAGCGATGACCTACCCTTTCCATTAACTTAACCCTAACTTCCATATTACACGAAAAAATTCCAATACGCATGACTCTTAAATCATTGCAATTTATAACTTGCATTATATAATGCTCAATGATACAGTAAGGTTGATAGGAATGAACTTCATATATGTTACATTTCACGTATGCATTTTATGATATTTGTTCTAGAACACATGTTTTCCAACTCCTTTGGTATTAGTTTCCAATGTTATTATGTTGGGTTCCAATCTTGACTTCATTAGGGTTAGGAGGAAGGGCTAGCTCAATGGAGTTGCCCGTTGTTGACTTCCTAAGCCCAAACACTTCTTCGGAGGAAGCGTGCCATGTTAGATACTGACACTCTTTGGTTACTTCTGAAACTGTGTTTGATACTTCTTTAACTTGTCTTAATTAAAACTTTAAATTCGTAATACTAGCTACTTCAGCGACACTTCTTGAATCCTTTGAACATTACCTATATGATTCATCTTTTCATAGTAACAAAGTTGTGCATTTTCTGGAATGCAACTTGTGCGCTCTAATTATGTTTTGAAATATTTATAAGATAAATATATCATCCATAGTTCAGTATTCTACAATTGTTTTATATTCTTTAAAATACAATTGTTATGGATGATATCTTGATATTTAAATGTGGAGAAGTGGTTTGGAAATACTCTTCTGATCTTGAGGAACGCTCGTGATCCTCTTCCGGTCACCTGAAAAGGAATATATACTCCGACGGGGGTGTCGGAATTAGCACTCCTACGGACAAGTCAGTAACAACACTCAGGAATACTTTTATTCTAAGTTAAGCACTACAATACTTACATACCTCTTACTGACTGATGTTCTTCTATTTATATCTTTTCTTCCATGGTCCCTGGGATTAGGTCCATTTCCAACTCATATTCGGCACATCTTATAATAGACCGACCCTCACTCGGTCCCTTGCCTAATCGGCTATTTGGCCGAATAGGGTTGGATTTGAACATGGGAGCCAATTGCCGAGTGCTTTGAATCTCGACTTTCCGAGATTCGACTATCCGAAATCTCTACGACTCCTTCTTCTCGGCCCCCACAATTGCCCTCCAAGCAGTCCACTAACGACAGTTGGCTGGAATGTTTGGTTTCGAACTCGAAGAGTCAGAGTCGAAATTTGACGGCTGACCGTATTCCAGCGCAAATGTCTGTACATACGTTTCCCAGTTATCATTTCAACTTCCCGCCTGTTCGTACATTTTTATTTATTGCGATTTGAGATTTTGACGTCTTTTCAAATGCATACATGCTTTTAGACGCCCGTCGCTGGATTGCCTTTCGAACTACTTCTGCAACTTCCTACTCTTCTCTATCTCCTTCGCCTCTTGTAAGTTCTCTCCTTCTCTGCTTTGTTTTTCTTTTGGCTTAGCATAATCCTATTGGCTGGGGGAAGGGCGAAACATTTGAAAGATCTCCTCTCACCAGATCAAATTTCTGGCTTCCGACGCCATTTTTCCATTCCTGATGCTGTTCGTCAGTCATTTGTGGCAAACGACACCCGTGATATGGAGAAGGTTGATGAGACCACGGTCGTCTTCCCTCTTCTATCAATCGCAGAGGGTGGTGTCCGTTTTCCCCTTCACCCTCTCCTTAGGGTCGTGCTTTGCCATTGGGGGTTAATCCCTTCCTAACCTAACGTCAACTTCTATAGGATCGTGATGGGGATTATCGCACTAAATCGCCGCCTTAGGCTTAACCTTCGCATTCTCGCTATTCGGCATTGCTACACCTTGGCCAAGTCTTCTGGTTGGCACGGGCATTATTTCCTTAGGGCCAAAGACACTGACCATCAACTAGTGACTATGCTTTCCAGCTCTGGGAAGTGAGTCGATGATGTTATGGTCGTCGTCCAAGGAAACTGGTAATTCGGCGAAGGTGAGGATCACCTTGATCGTATTCCTAGACGGAGGGGCGAACCAGGTGGTCAAGTATCTTCTTTTATTTATTTTCTTATTACATTTATTAAACTTTATTTTCGGGACCTCATGGTTTTGCTTTTGCAGGAAACGATTTGAAGAAAGTCTTGATATCAACTGACGACGCCATCCTTTCGGAAATCAAGATTGCGCTCAAGTATTTCGGCCGACCGAGTCTTCAGAAGTAAGGGAGGGCGGCTCACGTTCTACTTCGCTACGAGCCGACTTATACAACCTTTTCGGCGACGGAGAACATTTCAATTCCGGGGGGTGAGGAGTGTCTTATCGACCTTATCTTGACTGTTTTCAGAAATTTGAGGCAAATCGGTCGCGAGGGATCAGATTCAAAGCGACCGAAAATAGTTGAGGCCGCCGAGTCAGACCACTCCGAAACTGAGGTTGACGAAGCTTTGAAGTTAGCATTTAAAGAAGCCGGCCTCAATTTGGCTGATCCTCTGTCCACTTCGGGTCGGGAGGACCGTCCGCTCGACGATATTTTTCACGGTCTAGAGGACTTACCAGGGACGTTCCCAGAAGATATGGCTAGGTTGAGCTCACTAAACTTGCCAAGATGGCAAACGTGGAAAGGATGGCCGCGCGGCGAAGGGCGGAGGAGATTCGGGCTGCCGAATCTCAGTCCCAGACCTCCTTGCCTGTTATCGAGGTGACGGCAAAGAACGGAAGTACCGAGGCAGAACCTTTTGTGATCGTTCCTTTTGTTATCCAGCCCAAGATAAAGAATATGCCAATCTCCTCTGATTCTTCGGTGATCAAAGATCCAGCGGTTGCACTCAGCTTGGCGACGCCCGTTTCACTGCCTGCTGACAACGCGACTTTTCGGGTAGAGCCGGATCTGGTTGCAATTGGGTTGGCCGTGCAATCGGCTCTTTTGGTATATATCTGCACTTTGTCTTTTCTCTTTACGCA